GATAGCAATCATTGTTTGGATGACCAGACTCACTTTGATCGGAATAATATTTTTCGAACTTTGAAGTTTCCATGATTTTTTAATTATGGCAGGAGGACCGTTTACGTTAGAGCCGGCTCTGCCTATTTTTCAACTTGAGACAATTTGTTTCCTTCTCCTTCTCAAATTCAAACATTTATTTCTCCTTCTTCCTTCAATCATTTGTTTTTGTTGAGACCATTTCGCTTACCTCTTTATCATCAATGTTTTTTTTTTGCATTGTCTATAACTTCGAACCAACTATTCAGAGTATATTTTTATTTATTCTCGTTCAATTCACCTACCAATGTTGAACTTACTCCTAGTTGAGTTCTTTCGGCTTTTCAGTCGTTTCAAAGTCATTTAGTCTCGAACCGGATCCTTAAAAAAAGGTATGTATACTTTCTCAGCTGACATATTGTCTTAGATTCAAGATCTTTTTAATTTCCTGGCACTTCTTGCTTTATATCCTGCCTGAAGATGGCCATGGTGCCGAAACTAGTCACACACATGAGTGTTTTATATTTAATTTTGTGGCCGACCGACTTCGAGTACGTTTCTTTCTCTCCTTCTGAATATCATCTTCCATAATACTTATATGAATGTTTCATACTAATTCTGGGCAGTGGCAGTGTCAACAAAAATGAATGAAATTATCAATGATTTCGGAAGACACTCATGACACAGACAATTCTCGAATGATATCATATGGAGATGGTATTTATGGAAAAGGTTAATTTTCCATACTTATACTTCATTCTGAAATGGTATACGATTCTAGATGTTATATCGGGAAAATAATTTGAGCTATGACTTTGGATGTCTACCAGAAACCTCGATGATTTGTGTTGAAAATGTTGCTTCTGCTGTAACGACCCAAGCCAGCTCGCTTGGTAGAATATTCCATCATGATCAAGAGTATTGATTCATTTTGGAAGTCATTTTCTTATTTGAGGATCATAGTTAGTGATTCAGTTCATGACTCCATTAATGAGGGTTCAATTTCTATGAGTATTTGCATTTTTTTATCAGAGGAATAAGTAACAAATCATAACGAGATCATAAGTTCTATCACTCCAACTTTGGATTGTATCCCAGGTATGGTAAGACCTTGTTGGCTACTCGATTCAACAGTGTTGTGCTTTGTTACAACATCAGGAAGCTTGGTGAGTAATCTGGACATCGATTTGTATCGATTTATTCTAGCTACAAAGGCAGGAAGAGTCTGTTTTGTGAAAAAAACTCTACCAATTCACGAACGTTTGACGCTGTCAGACGTTCATAAATTCACTTCGAATCTGAAGTAGAACCAGACAGACTTGTGAAAACAGCTACCTGATATTTGGACATCGTATGTTCACAGCTAGAAGCCTCATACTGCAAGGGAGCACCCTGAAATGGGGCCAAAAAGGGGCCAAATCCAGGTTTGTTTCAATAAAAGAACATCAGTAACCATGGAAGTGGTCCTAGTGATAATCACAACTAAGATGCCTATATCACAACAAACGGTTTCCCTTTAAATAGCAGCCCGAGCCGCGATCCCAACAGAACATTTCCAACCTTCGAAGAAGCAATAACATCTCCAGAAATAATAGGTAAGAATCCATCCATAACAAAACTGTTTGAATTCGTATATATGTTTATGTGACCGTCCGCTCGGTGCTGGAAGTGACTAGAGCACCGACGGCCGTTACAGACAGAGCGATATGGGGTATTCTTTTGAAAGATGTTTCTCTTATTCTATAGTAAAAATGTATAATCATTTGGATAATAGCCTAAAAAACATTTCTCTGAGCAGATTCAGATATAAGTTCAAAGAATTCTTGATGAAAAACAATTTCAACTATTTATAAACAAAAAAAAGTGATACTTCCCTATACGAATGATATGCAATTACAGGTTGTTTAACCCAGGGGTGGTATGGGTCTGGTGGTGGTCTGCTTGTGTGCTGTATAGGTATAGGTTTCTATATATATATATATATATATATTTATTTATAAATAAAAACTGAATGAACAAAATAATCATCAAGTAGGTTGAACGGTAGAGCAGACGCCGCAGCCTGCAGTTGTGCAGTGCCGTGGTGAACTGAGTTCAACCTTTTTGCCTTCCATATTTTTTTTTCTCCAATATGCATTGTAATAACAACGTGAAGGTAAATAAACGTAATTTATTATTATTATTATTATTAAATGAACTGTGTTGCGCTGCAATTCTGTTTATCATTGTTTATTATACGGAGCATTGATATGGTTAGGCATATATGATGAATATTTGTTGTTTTTCTTTACAGTTATATGATTTCACATATTATTTTCTTTTAGCTTACACTTACACTACAATCCGACCGACACCGGATCGTAGTCGGACCCTACACTTTTGACAATCCGACCGACACCTGATCGTAGTTGGAACTTACACTTACACTACTATCCGATCGACTTGGTCGCAGTCGGACCCAACACTTCACTACAAATAGGTTTGTTCTTTTGAAATGAACTGGGTGTAGTTATAGTCGAATTGAAAGGATACTGATTATTCATGATGGTGTTATGGTATATCAGATACTCCTGTGTTCGTATATGTTCTTGTAGCTTACACTTACACTACTATCCGACCGATTTGATCGTAGTCGGACCCTACACTTTTTACAATCCGACCGACACCTGATCGTAGTCGGAACTTACGCTTACACTACTATTCGATCGACTTGGTTGCAGTCGGACCCAACACTTCACCATAAATAGGTTTGTTCTGTTGAATATCTGCGACTTCAAGAAATAATAAAGATTTGCCTAAACATTGTGTTTTCCTTCAGAGCGAATGGGCAGAAATGATATTATTCCAGAAACTAATTCCTTATCTTGTTACGAGTTCTAGGAAACATGGAAGATGACCAAACCTCTACCTCCTGTATAGCCGAAAGAACGGGGTTGAAGGATTGGGTCCCAGTCTGAGTAAAATCTTAGCACTTACTCAGCACTCAGTCTCTGATAGATAACGTCAAGTCCAAATAGAGTAAACTCATCACATGATCTCTTTTGGGTAGTATTGTATACTTCGCTGTTGCTTAACCTTGACCAGTTTATCTACGTAACTCGAAGTGCTTATAGATGACAATGAGTGGTCAAATTGCTCGATGGTACTGTGGGAGCATATTCTCTCCTTACTTTCATATTAACAGTAGGCATACTGATTTGGACGTCCCTGTAGTTGGTGTACACCTCGGAGGTGGCTTGCAACCACTCTCATTTTATCCCGGCAGGAGACGATCCTTCTACTGAAAAAAGCCATTAGGCAAACCGAGAGGAATGCAAGCATAGTCCATCTGAGCAATGGATCAGATAATACCAACATAAACTTTTGATACTGAGTCTTGGTTGGCGCAGTGAAGAGGGTTTGATTGCTTTTGCTAATTCACTCAACTTCACATCGTACAATTTGCATTGTAAAAAGATGCGTGGCCAATAAATACTCTTGATTCATACTCGATTTTCATTTCTTTTCTACCTCCACGGAACTCTGTATCCACGATCACATGAAATATGGTTATAGATAATTCCATATATCTAGACAAGATCCGGGTGGGTTTAGTTACACTGCCCAGAATTGTCTGAAATACTCTTGAAATAATTCATGTTAGGAAAATTAATGTAGTTATACCTTAGTTGCGAATTGAAATGTCATTTTGCGATCAACCTAATTGAAGGATGATCTGAATCCATTGGGGCAGTGGAATGTTCATCAAAAAAATCGCTAGTGATAAACCCACTTTGCAGTTTCATTATTATAGATATTGTGTCAGCGTAGATTTTTAATGCTGCTTCTGCTGGACCAAAAATAGTTGAATTGATTGATATCTGTGGATTTTGTAACGATGCACCAGTATTTCATAGCATTGAATTGTGATGGTACCTACTCACCGTTATCATTCCTGATGAACAAGGGAAGACAAGGTATACATACCTGAAAATAAAAAAGAGTCAATGAGATGTTTATGTAAGTGTATATACCGGTCATGGAAAACGTTCCACCCAAGTTCTCTTCGTTGTGATGTAATAAATGAAAAACCGCTTGGACTGTTCGGTTTCAATTTGGCAAGGGACTAATTTTCTTGTAAACATTCTATTCCAAAGTTGAAACTTTTGAGCAGAGCAGCCAAAAACTATCGATTACAAATTCAACAATATCAAGTTTGATGAAGTTATCTGAAATGGCTACGGCCATATCACTATTTGATTGATTTTTCTATATGCTTCATGTTGATTGTGACAGAAAAATTTCCGCACGCGGAGTTATAACGATCTGACCCCAGACAGCACCAGTTATTCCATGAATTTTTGTAGAATATCATTTTTGTATATTGGGAATATTCATGAACATGTCAGGGATATACATATCTTCTACGGAATAATAGTCGTTTTTATGTGGGGAAATTTGACGTTCAATCATTCGTCTTTACCAACGCTTGACACCACGACATTTTCCAGTTGATTTCACGTAATAAAGACACGAATTTCTCAATTGGTGGAAGTGACAACATAATCGTTCTGAAAACGTATATGTGTGTTTATTGGGTAATCATCAAGGATGTTTGACTGTATCTGTATAGGATGGCTCAATCCCTGTACTGCAATGTATTCCGTCGGGTGACGTCACCGCGTTGCCTTCTGCATGTTTATGTGTTTATGATATCGAGTGATCTGCGAGATCTGTGGTATCTGTGAGGGTGCGCACGCGCTTCAATAATGGCGCTTCAGTTTATTTGAATTCAAGAAATTCAAATTTTGAAATAATTAAACTGAAATAATAAAAATCTAGGCATATTTGCATAATACAGATACTGTAAGTAGATACAATACGATTTCGTGAAGAAAGTTACGGCTATTCCTGCTGTTTATAAAATCGTTTTTGTTATATAGGTGAAGGGAAGTTGAAGGATATTGGAATATCTATACATCTCTGGATAATCTATCTAAACTATGCCTGGTTTGACGTGTGCTGTATTTGGATGTAAAAACAACTGGGCATCTTCAAAAACAGAAGAAAAACTGACTTTTCATGTAATTCCAAGACAAAAAGACTTCCTATCCACAACAATACGAAATGAATGGATTGCCTGTTGTAACAGACCTGCTACTTGGAACCCAGACAATGGTAGAATTTGCTCAGCACATTTTTGTGATCAAGATTATGAGAGAGATCTACAACATGAACTTTTGGGTACACAATTGTATATTTTCATTGAGAAAATGTCTTGATATTGGGATGTTTGTAGGTTTACCATTGAGAAAACGACTCAAGAAAACTGCAATTCCTACCCAGAACTTACCTGGCATTGAAATATTAAATTCAGATTCAACAGAAGATCTCCAAACTATTCTTAATGCTAATACACAAGTTGATAATAATCACAATGTTTCTCAAAAGTCTACCCTGAATGTTATAGAAAATGAATTTCTAAATTGTCCACAATCCAACCTCCCTCCTGATGAAGATTCCACATGTTCCTCTTATAAACTCAAATATAATGAGCTCTTAGGTGAATTCACAAAATTGAAAGAAAATTATACCAATCAAGGAAAACTCAACAAAAGTAAAATCAAAACATTAAATAATAATCTGAGATATTACAAATATTTTGAACACTTCAATAGAACTAACCACAGTGGAAAAGGCATCGTTCGAAGATTGGCATCAAAAATTAAAAAACATTCAGACTACCCATTGGAAATCATCACTGGTTTTTTCAAACTAAGAACCATAATTAAAATGAACTTTCTGAATATGAAGAAAGAAGAGAATATTAAAAGGAAGAGACAAAGAGATGTTACTGATGATAGTTCAGATTCAAATAGAAAAAGAATCAGAAAACTTTATAAAATCACTAGTTGAAATAAAATCATTATGAAAATTACTTACAATAAAATGTTCAGAATTAAATTCGATTTTTCTTGATAGAAATGAGAAACTCACCTGTGTAATATATAACATTCAAAAATGGCAATATAATGTTGAAACAAATGATAATGAAAAAATAATTCTATGCTCTACATTATTTGTGAAAATTATTACTGGTGTTTTTTTTAAATGTTAACTTGTTTACCATTTAACAGTGTTATATTTTGTTGTTTCTCACACCAAACTCAAATATTATCAAGACACATTTCAATGAATCTTTACAATCTACCACTTTTTTGCTTTTGCAAGCTTTGATACCTATCCCACTTCCTCAAAATAATTACGTATTGATTGTTTATATCCCTAGGTTACATTGTTTTGTTATGGTTTGTAAATGTAATCTCCTACTATGACAAAAACTATATAATATATATATATATAATTTATTTGAAATGACAATTTTTCATTGAAAAGGAATATTCTCAGATATAGTACTATCATAGATCAAAAAGGCCACATGAAAAAATTCAAACATACCTATCAAGAAATACATTGAAAATTTGCAATCCATATATGATGAAACTATGAATTTTTTCAGGTGTGTTCTTAAGGGGCTGGTAGAAAATATCTATCCAAGAAGCATAGGCTGAGTCGAGGGCTGAGTTGTCCCCAAATGTATCTCACAAAATTTCAAGTCAATTCTGATAAGGAATCCAAGAAAAAAATCTAACAACTTTCGTTCTTCTCAAGGTGAATGGTCCTAGGACTCCTTGCTGATTGTTCAATAGAATGATCTTGTCTGCTTGTTTTAGTTCAATTCATCTTGCAATTAATGATAAGTCAGCTGGATATTAATTGTAGAAAATTCCATAATTAATTTTCTGGAAGAAATATGCTAATAAAATTATTGGTATCTCACATTTAGGTCACTCACTGACACAAATTGGGAAATCCTGGTTCAAAACATAGAACTCCTGTGATATTCTGGCCATATTATACTGAAAATCAAGTGATTTTAGTTATAGAAGCCTCATATTTATCACTTATATAAACTTACCTGGTTTTGATCATTGGAACATTGGATCATCTTCATTACAAAGGTTAAGCAGGTTTCCACTTGAATTTTGATTCTAGTCCAACAAGCATTCATATATTTATATCCTTTATTCATCATTACTTCTGGTGTATTATGGAATAGTGAATGGGTACAGTAAAATTGTACGAATTCAATCATTTTGACCATTTATTTGTTGGAATTCATAGTTTGTAATCTATCGATAATACCTACTGTATATAATATATAATGTAATATGTAGTGTGACCATTCTCATGTTAGACACTTGTCATGTAACTATGGATTCGTTATTGATTATGTTCGTTGTTTTAATAACAGATATTTTTTCCTTCGAAAGAGTGTGGATAAAAGTTATCCAAAAAGGAATCCACTGATTTATTACTCACTGCCTAACAGGTTATGGGCTCAGGTCAATTGAGTAAGAAAATCTAACAATTCTACTCAAATATCTTTGGATTCTGAAGTATACGACATTCCTGTTTCCCAAAATGCCAGACGAAACGCAGTCAGCTGTCACGATCTCAACCTCGGCCCACAATATTGAAAAATTGGTAGGGCAATCGAACTATGCAAGTTGGAAGTTCGCAATGAGAATGACTTTAATGTTGGAAGGGCTATATGGGCATGTAGATGGGACAATAACGACCATTGATTCGAGTAACAAGAGTAAGGATGAGAGGGCATTAGCAAAAATATGTCTTTCCATTAAGCAGGTCTGTTATGTCCATGTCCAGACGGCTACAAATGCAAAAGAAGCATGGGACGCACTCAAGGATGCCTTTGAAGCAAGGAGTATGGCCACAACATTTGAATTGACGAGAAAAATCTTCAATACCAAACAAGAAAGTTTTTCTGATGTCACTGAGTATGTGACCAATATCATATCAACAGCTCAAACGTTGACTGATTTGGGTAAAACTATCGATGATGAATGGGTTACTTTTGCTATATGCAATGGAGTTTCGGCAGAATTTGAGGAGTTAGTCGCCTCTTTGTACCGAAACATAAAGGTCAACCAAAAGCTAACCTCAAATGACGTCAAGGTAGCCTTAATTAGTGAAGCTGAGAGACGTCGTGTGCGTGGGGATCATCCTTCTTCGGAGGCGGCACTACTTATAGAAGCAAAGAAGAGGACGCAGAAGAAGAACAAACCAATCGTCTGCTATGACTGTAATCAGCCGGGCCATAAGAGACCAGACTGTCCACTACGGAAGGAAAAGTCAACTAATAAACGAGAATCCAACAGAAATGGGTCATCAGGAGCAAGCAATGGTTCAACTAACAAGAGCCAACACACCACGCTGCTGACACGTGCTTTGGAAGTTACATCTTCTGACTCTTCTGAGAATTCTGAGGTAACCCAACCTATGATGGAGACGAGGGTCATGGTGACAAGAGGACAATCCTCTGGATGGGCCGTCGACTCTGGTGCTACCTGTCATATGTCGAGGAGCAAGACTCTGATGTCTGATATTGCTCCAAGCACAACAGCTATTGCCATGGCTGATGACAGAAGAATGAATTGTGGAGAAATGGGTAATATGAAGTTGGAACTCAATAACAATGGTACTAAAGTTGTTAAAATTGCCAAAGATGTATTGTACACTCCTGAACTAGCTACCAGTTTACTGTCAGTTGCTAAATTAACTGATAAGGGCTTTAGAGTAGTTTTTGATGATAAATCATGTGATGTATATCATAATTCTGACTTTGAGGTTGTGGGAACTGTAGAGTTTAAGGGGACTAAGAATGATATAGGGTTATACATGTTGAATCAATATCAATCTGAACCAGAGAGAGCTTTTACTTTAGTGAAATTGTCTAAAAATGAATTGTGGCATAAAAGACTAGGTCATTTAAGCCGTATGGGAATGAACCAACTAAAAAATGGTCTTGTAACTGGGTTAGATTTTGAAGAATGTGATCGCAGGTCATGTGTAACTTGTCTTGAAGGAAAGCAAACAGCGTTACCATTTCCTAAAAAGGGGAAAAGAGCGAAAGAAATTCTGGGGATTGTTCACTCTGATGTCCAAGGCCCGATGGAAGAACCTTCATGGGGCGGAGCCCGTTTTTGTCTGATATTTGTTGATGATTTTTCTCGTAAGACGTTTGGATATATGTTGAAATCAAAAGATCAAGTTTTTACTACATTCAAATTATTTAAAATCATGGTAGAGAATCAAACAGGTAAAACTATCAAATGTTTAAGATCAGATAATGGGGGGGAGTATATTTCAGGTGAATTTGAAAGATTTCTGGCTGAGTGTGGAATAAGACATCAAAAGACAATAAGGTACACTCCCCAACAAAATGGAGTTGCCGAAAGGTCTAATCGCTCTAATATGGAGCGAACAAGATGTTTGTTGTTTGAGTCTAATCTTTGTAAGAAATACTGGGCGGAAGCAATGAATGTAGGAATTTATCTAAAAAATAGGTCACCTACTAAAGCGGTAGTAGGAGCCACTCCTGAAGAGGTGTGGACAGGGGAAAAAGTAGATGTTTCTCACCTCAAGATATTTGGGTGTCGTGCTCAAATGCAAGTCCCGAAACAAAAGAGGCATAAATTGGACAAAGTGTCGAAACCTATGATTTTTGTAGGGTATGATGAAGAAACAAAAGGCTATAGGTTGATTGATCCTGATTGTCCAAATCGTGTTTTTGTTGAAAGGAATGTTGAATTTTTTGAGCATGATTTTGTCAGCACAGTGGAACAATCCAAAACCAACATTGAGTCTGAACCAGTAGTGAATCAAGAAGTGAATATACAGATTCCAATTACCGAGGAATTGTATCTTCAAGATGCCAATGGAGTGGGACCAGGAGGGGCCAGTGAGGGTCACTCATATACTTTTGAATCACAAACAGAATCTGAAGATGAGGATTTAGAAGGTATGATTGATGTTGAAAATGAATTTCGTGGTTTTGGTGATCCTGAACCAAATCTCATTGGGGGAAGGTATCCAAAACGAAATAGAATATCAAAAAGAGATAGTGATTATGAATATTCTTTTCTAGCTGTAAGTCCTCATGATCCATCAAATTTGAATGATGTATACAATCGATCTGATAAATCTCTATGGGAGGAAGCCATGCGGAATGAATTAAGTTCACTTGAAAGCAATCATACATGGACATTGGTAAATAGACCAGATGACCAAAATATTGTAAAATGTAAGTGGGTATTCAAACTTAAAAGGGGAATGAATGGATCTAAACGCTACAAAGCAAGATTGGTTGCAAAAGGCTTCACACAAGTTCCCGGCAGGGACTATGATCAAACTTATGCTCCTGTTGTTCAGCTTGCATCACTTAGATTATTGTTCGCACTTAGTGCTCAATTAGATCTCGAAATTGATCATATTGATGTTACTACGGCTTTCCTGAATGGAGATTTATCAGAAACAATTTTGATGGAACAGCCAGAAGGATTTGTGGTGAAAGGAAGTGAAAATAAAGTCTGCAAATTGAACCGTGCCATCTATGGGCTCAAACAAGCAGCAAAATGTTGGAATGATAAGATTCATGATCTTTTAATGATAATTGGATTCAAACGCTCTAATTATGATGATTGTGTGTACATGAAGCGAAATGAGAATGGTTGTATTGTAATTGGTCTACATGTGGATGATTTTTATATTTTCTCTAATTCCAAAAGCGAGACTGGTGATTTGAAAAGTAGGCTTGCTGAAGCATTTGAAATTAAAGATCTGGGAGATGTTCAAGAATGCTTGGGGATGAGAGTTAGAAGAGACAGAACAGAGGGTACTATTAAGCTCGACCAAGGAATTTATGCCAGAGATATTTTGTCTAGATTCGGTGAGGTGAACTGTAATTCTGTCTGTACACCAATAGAAACTGGTACCAAACTGATCAAACCTGATAAGGGCTGTAATAATCCAGTTTATCAGCAAATGATTGG